TGACTTATATAGAGCCCTCTTCAAATTTGGTGCTGCTTCCTTAGCTGGGGCAATTACCTCCATTGTAATTGAATCCCTTAATTCTTCCATTATCCCCGACTGTTGGAGGCCGGTCACAATCATACCAATCCCCAAAGCATCCAAATCTTCTGTCCTCTCCAAATGTTTTCGCTCCATACCATTAACATCCTCAGCTCCTAAATTAACTGATAAGGCCACCCTCAAACGCCTTCAGCAGTCTACAAACATTCCCAGTGATCCGTTACAGTTTGCTTACAAGCCTAATAGACCACCTTGGACGTCGTCTTCACTCTCATTCATTCTATCACTAAGTCTTTGAACAGCTCTGTTAGGCCTGTTCGAAGTGTTTTTCTACTACTCTTATGCACTTTATTCCATTCCTAGATCTAAGTTGTTACGAAAACTGGAATCGTTTGAATGTCCCAAGCAGTTGTTACCAACTATTTTACCGATAGGGTACAAACCACTAGATTGAGAAAGGCCACATCGAAATCCTTAGTCAACAACTCCGGGGTTCTTCAAGGAGCTGTGTTATCCCCATATTTATTTTCCACTTTTTTTGTAATATTCCCTGTGTTTCTCCCGCACGAATTTTGAAATATGCAGATGATGTCGTGTTGTGCCAACCCATTTCTTCTTACTCCGATCTAAGTTCTTTTACCGATAATCTTGTCAAATTCAGTCATTCTCCTCCTCATCGGGGCTAACCCTGAACCCCAGTAAATGTGTTGATTATCAATCAGTCATTCTCCTCCTCATCGGGGCTAACCCTGAACCCCAGTAAATGTGTTGAGTGTTTATATAGTTTTGCTCGCTCTCCATATCCGACAGAGCCCACAGTGATTAATAACAATCCTTTATTCAGGGTGAACTCTGTCATATATCTTGGTGTAACCATAGATGGCAATCTTCATTGGTCAACCCAGATCCACAACTGCATTGGTAAACTGCGGCGCCTCGAAAGCTCAGGCAGTTTCGCGCATCCCAGTCAGTTATTTCTACCTTTGTTTATCAGTGTCTTTTCCACATCTTACTCTACTGTTCCCCAGTCATTTTTTCTGGCTTACTCAAACAGGATTTTGAAGTCTTACGCCGCGGTCTAACCATTCTTAGTCTGTTTCTTTTATTCCTGTGAATGAGTTAGCTTTAGAGCTTTCAGAGTATCACGTAACTTCCTGAGAGGATTCTCGCAGACCCTGACCACCCATTGCATGCAGAACTGACACGATTTCGTTCCCATCATTCAACACGCTCCCAATTCCGCCAAATTTCATCTCGAATTAAACGCATACCGCAATTCATACATAACGTATTTTGCTCGTCTATTCATAAACAAAGAGCGAACAATAAGTGAACTTTATCTTCACCTTAGGTTATCCAATATCGTCACGTCTGTGAAAATTTTTCATAGTTTCCTA